CGCAAGTCAGTGGTTTGCAGACTCGAGCTTCGGCCGCCTGTGGGGGTCAAACCTTGAGAACTTCAGAACAGGGTCCATGGCTGTTGTGACTCGGGCGATGCCGATGTGAAGAGAAGGTTCTTGACCTCGAACTGTGACAGAGAACTGCGTCCGTCGTTGGTGTGTTCTCTCCTCGATGTAGTCTGCTTCCTCACCTCCTTTGTCGGTGCCATCGTAGTCGTCCAATCAGGATAGCCGGACGACATTACTGCCCGGGGGACAACAGAGGTCGAGACCACGGGCTAGGAAACTCAGAAGTCTGGATTGATCGACTCGACAACACACAGTCTTTCCGACAAAGAACTTTCGAGTCCATGGTTCGTAGCCCAGATTAGGCAGGTGGAAGGTATGCGGCGGGTATGTGGTTGTTGGTGCAGGGATCAAGACGCGAACGAACCCCGGAATTCCAGTCATTTGGCCAAGATTGCGAGGATGAGCAGATGCCAAACAGTTGGCGTGAGTTGAGTTTCGATTTGCATGCTGGCAGTTCGGAAGCAAGGCCGGCAAGCCCAGGTAATGATGGGGCAGCGGTCGGTCACACGTGCGTGTGTTCTGTGCAGGCGTCTCTGGACTGGTGTGTCGAGCATAGATTAGGCGCGGAGGTTTATTGTCAGTTCCACTGGCCCTAGTCCTGTCAAGTTTTGAGGTGACGCTCAATGGCAGGTTGTTCATGTGTTTGCTGCAGCCGGTGGTGTCCCTTTGTCTATTGCGACTTTCACCTCAGGGCGTAAGCAGGTCGGCAGCGCGAGTGGCAGGTGCTTTCCTTCCTTCAGCCAAGATGACGCTCGGCGGCTTGCTTAGACTGTTATGTAAATGCCAGACTAACTCATCATGGCCAACACGATCCCAAGGCCGTCCAGTGGTTTGGATGTTTGGGTATCCCCGTTTGCACGTGCAACAAGAAAGCAAGTGCCGCGAGTTCCCGCTCGCCACTTGATGGGGAGGCTGGATTGAGTGTCGCGGGAAACGAGGGGAGCGAGGCGGCGGTTGACATGAAATGGCCTTATCCAAGTCTCAAGAGCCAGGGGCCGGTGCTGCAGTTACCCGCAGTGGGGGTCGCATCGGGTCGGTTGTCTTGTCTCTTGTCTCTGGGTTCTGCGTAGGTAGGTGCATCTTGGGTAGGAGCGTAGTTGAATGACGGAGCTTTGGGTTTATCGCGGGGGCTCCTGACGTCGCGTCTCCAGCAAGAGGTGAGTCGCAAGGCGGGTGTCAAGGTGATGGAGGAGGCGCCGAAGGACCGAGACGAGGCGAAAGGATGGACAGGCGTGAGGTTTGGCGATGACGGGACGAGGAGGTTTTGCTCTGTTTGGAAGTCGGATATCCATGTCAGTTGCTTGCGCCCTGGAACGAGGAGGCGGACGCAGAGCTGCAACGGACAAACAAACGTGTCGGACTCCCGCTCCGTGGGAAACAGGACGGGACGAGGTCGCATCAGAACACTGCGAAGTTCGCCTCGGAATTGTGGATGCGTTGAAGGAGAATGGAAACAGAAGGCCGAGTGAAGGACGTGTAAAACAGGTCAAGCCGTGGCCAGAGCATTTGTTGTGCCGTGCTCTGGTTTCCACGCAAGTGTGGATTGCCTCGCCTTGACACCTTCATACTGAGACTCCTCCAGTCCTACTGGCAAGTGCAGTACAACCACCAGTACGGATATGGAGGTTGGAGGTTGGAGAGGCAAGCGCCGCAGACCTTCACACCCTGGTTGCCGACCAAAACTGGGTGCAGGATTGGGCTTGCGCTTGTTAAGGGGCTAGGCATGTATCCTGCACAGTGCCTGTCTGTCTTTATCGGAAACTGGACGGAGGGGATGGGGCAGCTTGGGGGCAGGTTCCCCGCTATGACGTCTCACGATGCAGCGAGGGCTATCCGTGCCGAGACGAGGTGGCTACTGTGCAGAATACCTTTCCAGGGACCATGGGGAAGTTTACCTACGGATACCTAGTATCTTAGCACCACCGCAGAGGGTACGTACCTGCCGTGCCTGTACCGCAAGTGGATGAGAGGGGCCGTCTTCCCCTCGCTCCATCTCAATCCCGCCGCGAAAGATGCAGCGCGCACTGTGAGTGGCTGGAGGCCAGCCAAGATGATCAAGATGGCACAGAACGAGATGCAAGATGGAGCACGCGGTGCCTTCGCCAGCCCCAAGCCAACTTGTTTAAATTCGGGTGAGCAGTGGAAGTCGAAGAACGAAGCAGCGGTGTCAGGGGAAACCAACAGATGGGAATGATGAAGACGAATCCATTCCTGCCCAACCTTACGGATACCAGCAAGATGTGACTTCCCCGGTAGATGGCGGCCTCTCATTCGCCAGCCGTGCGGGAAGTCTTCAGTTCCATTCGATGCGTCCAGGGAACATGTCCCCCTCCACCTCTGTACCCAAGGCAAGGTACTGCGTAGATTTGGTTCTTTCTTTCTTTCTTTCTTTCTTCCCTCCCCTTCCCTGCACCTGCACCACCTTCAGGTTCAGACTTCAGGTGTCTTCCTGGCAGGCCTGGTCTTCTTTTTTTCCAAGCACCCTTGGTGGCCCTTAGGTCGACTCCCCTGCATGTTCCCATTTTCCCTTCCGCTAGGCACGGCGCTACGTGAGGAAGCAGCAAAGCGTCCCGCGAGGCAGGTACCGTCTGGGTCACTTTCCGCAGCGGTGTCAACCATATCGATGTCAAAATGTCCGTTGCTGCGAATTGTGCCACGCTGGAGTCGGGTCGGATCCCATGCAGCAGACCCTTAATAATTCTCCTAGCCTTGCTGCAAATAGCCCGTTTCGAACTTTTGCATATGCCTTGTGGATGGTAGGTATTAAGAGAGAGATAGAGAGAATCGCGCGCTTGACAGCATCCGTTTGGCCAAGACCAAAGACCATGAACCACCAACCAAGACCCCTTGACGCCGCCCTACATAGTACATGCCTCTCCCCAAATAGCCTCGACGCATCAACTCTTGGCTTGGACTCCAGGCCCCAATTGCAGGCCTTGATTCTGCATTCTGACCGTGTATCCGCCTCTCCGTGTCATCCAGATTTATCTTCATCTCAACCGCGTCAGAGAGTCTTCAGCAACTCTCCAGCAGGAGTCCAAGTGGATGGACTGCAGCTGCAGCTGTATCTGCACAATACCTACCTTAGGTATAGTGGTGTACGGATACGGATACAGTACTTCTGTTTGACCTGGGCTGCACATGCTTCCCCTCCCCTCCTTTCGGCTGATCGACCACGACTAGAAGGCGTCCAACAACAAGGCGTGTGTGTCGCCCCTTTCCTCCAAACCACAGACACACAAGACCGGACCACTGCCAGACAGACACCCCCATCGGATTGTCGTCCTTGAATCTCGCTGCTCTCTCGCTTGCTTCATCCTTCTTTCCCCTTCTTCTTCCTCTCCTCCTCACCATCCTAGGAGTCTTTGCTCGTCCCATCCTGTACTTTGCTGGCACCGCTGCACCGTCGTCAAGCTTTTGTATTGTTTGGCAACAGCCCCCTTATTTGGCCACTCTTTGGCCATCATCCATCAACCCGCCGTCAAAGAGTCTCTGGCCCGGTACGGATAGCCTTCGAGAAGCTTGCGGTGCCCACAGCTACGCTACTCACTACTTACATGCCCCTGTTCCATTGCATTCCCCATTCTAAAGATACCTGCACAGGAGCGACAGGGGCAACAGCAGCGTAGCAGGCCAACGAAGAAGAAGAAAAAGAAAGAGGAACAGATACCCAAGGATCTTGACGTCCGAACCAGGCCCAGGGCGTAACGGTAACCACAGCCCACAGCCCACAGCAGGCCCAGCAGGCCCAGCAGGCCCAGCAGGCCCAGCATATTAGCGGAGCCTCAGGAGGCGCAAGTACAGAGTACCAGCCAGTCTACGAAACATCGCGTGTTCCATACCTTAAGCCATTGCCCGGGGGCTCACATCCGAGGACAGCCACAGAAACAACCCGCCTCTATTAAACTGTAATCGCCTGCCATTTCCCTGCGAGGAAAGCTGGAAGAGAAGAGATGGCGACGCAGAACAGGTAAGCATCTCCCTCTTGCTTGGTTTGTTGTTGGTCTTCCGTTGCCTTCCTACCCGACCCGACCTTGCCTTGCCTTGGTTTGCTTCGCCTTGCCTGCGTTGGACGCTGTGCATTTTGCAAACGTCGGCTCTGCACCACATTGCATCGCATCGCATCGCATCGCATTTCGTCAGTCTAGTCTGTCTGTCTGTCGGGCTGTCTGTCTTCAGTCTAGGTACTGTCCGTGTTCTCTGCACTTGCACTTGCACCCACATCTTAGCACCTGCATCATCCCTTCCCCCTCCTCCGTTGCTGCTGGGCTGCATCCCATCCATCCCTAATCCCGATTCCTGCCTCTCCGCCCCCCATTCCACTACTCCCGTCCCTCCCTCTACCGCAATCGGCCGGTTCTCTCTAGGTTGGGCTTGCAGGCACCACGCATCAATCAGCAGCCAGCAACCAAGCAACAAGCAACAACCAGCCCAAGCAGAAAGCGGGCAGCAAAAAGCAGCCCAGCCCAGCCCAGCCCAGTCCTCCTAGCAGTCAGTACTGCGCCGCACAGCACACACACACCAGACAGTAACAGCACACACACACACACACACACACTGCTAGTGCCTGGGTGTCTTGCCTGTCTCTTTGCCTCCCTCCAGCAGCGAAGCGACTCGACTCGACTCCTTCAGCGAGGCTAGAAGTGGGGTTAATTTCGACTCGATCTGTCATGGCGCACCTCACCGATTGTCAACCGCCAACAGCCTGCTAATTGCGCTGTTCCCATTCCACACCTTTGCCTCTCCATATCCCAATCAACCCCCCCTTTTGCCGTCCTTCGCTTCACCCGCTCGTCGTCGGCGGCAAAACTTCACACTACTTTGTTGTTCTTTTGCTTGTCATCCTCCACAAAGTCGTTCCACCCAGTCGAACACTTCCATCGCATGCAGACCGCGCCCGCCTCCGTCGTCGTCCACGCTGCGCAATCATGGCTAACGAACGCAGTGTGTACTCGTCCGGCCAGTTCATGAACCCAGGCCCGGCGCCACGACCTCCGACCGATCGACCACGTCTAAATCTCGTTCCCAACAATAATCTACCAGGCAACATGGCCAACATGGCCATCTCCCCCATCCGGAGCACCGCGACTTCGACCTACACCGGCTCCACCATCTCCCTTCCGATCGCCCGTCAACAGTCGAACCAGATGGATGGTATGGGAGGCGTTGCCGTCAAGAAGGAGGGCTGGGCCTCCGTGAAGGAGTCAAAGAACTTCATCAACCCATGGAAGCAGAAATACCTCATCCTGCGCAAAGAGTCGCTCGATTTCCACAAGGCAGAGGGTGGCAAGGTTTCCTACACCCTGTTCCTCAAGGACGTCGTCAACGTCGGCCGTGTCGAAGCCGCCGGCACCATCTTTGAGATCAAGAGGAACCCCAGCGGCTCCTCCAACAGCCCCGGTGAGGACGACGGCCAGACCAAGACGTTGCAGATTCGTGTCAAGAGCGACGACGACTTGTACGAATGGATTGATCTGATTTACGGCGCCTGCCCTGGAATGGGCGGTGTCAGCAACCCCACCAACTTCTCCCACGCTGTCCACGTTGGTTTCGATCCCCAGACCGGCGAGTTCGTCGGCCTACCGCCCGAATGGTCGAAGCTCCTCAACTCTTCCGCCATCACCAAGGAGGATTATGAGCGTAACCCTCAGGCCGTCTTCGAGGTCCTCGACTTCTACTCCGACCTGACCAAGCGCGCCGAGAACCCTCAACAATACTCCAGTCTCACCCCCACGCCCCCCGCCGCCAACCAGCAAAACAAGCAGCTTGGGTATGGAGGTGGTGGTGCCGGCGTCGCGCCGCCTCGCCCTATGCCGCCCTCCCAGGCCCAGCGTCAACCCAGCTACAACACCCAGCCCTCATCACAGAACCAGCCGCGGCGGCCGTCGCCCACCGAGTCGCAGCAGCAGCGCATGCAGATGCAAGGCATGGCCTCCAACTACCAGCCCGACCCTCGCGAGGAGCAACGCCTCAAGCAGCTCGAGGCGCAGCGTGCGAGAGAGCGCGAGATCGAGGAGCAAAATCGGAGGGACTTGGAGGTCTTCAACGCCTCCATTCCCAAGACCAAGACGCCCATGGCTCAGCAGGAGATTGGTGGCTACGGCGGTGGATCGTCGTCCATCCCTCAAACGGACAGATACAACCCCTCCAGGGCAGCACCCCCGGCACCGAAGCCGACACAGCAGCAGCAGATCAACGGTCTGCGTGCCCAGCGCCCGGCACCGTCGCCGCCAACTGCCGGCCAACCTGCGCGACCACCAATGCAGTCGCAACAAAGCTCCAGCTCGATGCGGGACCCCAACCAGCAGCAACGCATGCCCCGTCCAGACCAGCCCAGCCAGCAGCAGCAGCAGCAGCAGCAGAGGTATCCCCCCAACGGCAGCCCCCAGCAGCAGAGACAACCTCCTCAGGCCCAGGCTCAACCGCCATCTCGTCTGCCCGCTCCTGTCAAGCCCCTGAACGTCTCCAAGGCCCAGCCCGCACCCCAGAGCGATGCGGTCAAGGCCGCGGAGGCTGCCCTGACGGCCAAGCCCACCCAGCAAGAGCGCCAGAAGGACGTACGCATGTCCACCATGTCCGAAAGCGAGGTCATGGCCAAGCTCAAGGAGGCTGTCTCCAAGGACGACCCGAATCTCTCCTACTCCAAGCAAAAGAAGATTGGACAAGGTGCTTCCGGTTCAGTCTACGTCGCCAAGGTCAAGGAGGGTGCTGTCTCGCCTATCGCTCGTGAGGTTTTGCGCGCCCAGGGCATCAAGGCTCAGGTCGCTATCAAGCAGATGGATCTTGCTCACCAGCCCAGAAAGGAGTTGATCGTGAACGAGATCATGGTCATGAAGGACAGCAGACACCGCAACATTGTCAACTTCCTCGACGCCTTCCTGCGCAACAACAACGCCGAGCTCTGGGTTGTCATGGAGTACATGGAGGGTGGTGCTTTGACGGACGTGATCGACAACAACCCCAGCATTACGGAGGAGCAAATTTCCACCATTTGCTTGGAGGTGAGCACAGTCAACACACGCAGATCGTACGTTGTCACTAACTTGAGCAGACTTGCCGCGGCTTGCAACATCTTCACTCCCAGAACATTATCCACCGTGACATCAAGAGTGACAACGTCCTTTTGGACGCACGTGGAAACGTCAAGATCAGTATGTACCCCAAACCAAGGCCCACATACCTTTGCTAACGAACCCCATAGCCGATTTTGGTTTCTGCGCCAAGCTCACCGAGACCAAGTCGAAGCGCGCGACCATGGTGGGAACACCCTACTGGATGGCGCCCGAGGTTGTCAAGCAGAAGGAGTACGGCCCCAAGGTCGATATCTGGTCGCTGGGTATCATGGCTATTGAGATGATCGAATCCGAGCCGCCCTACCTGAACGAGGAGCCCCTCAAGGCTCTGTACCTCATTGCCACCAACGGCACGCCACGCCTCAAGAAGCCCGAGAAGCTGAGCAAGGAGCTCAAGGCCTTCTTGTCGGTCTGCTTGTGCGTAGACGTCAAGAGCAGAGCGTCCGCGGACGAGCTTCTAGCCCACGACTTCCTCAAGCACGGATGCCCGCTCGGCAGCCTTTCCGAGCTTCTCGCATTCAAGAAGCATGCCAAATAAGCTGGTGTGCATTTCGGGTTGAATAGGCTCACTGAGATGCCGTTGCACCAGCAGTGACAAGCGGCGTTTACGGAAGTGGTGATTTCGTGCAATCACACCTGGGACAGAAAAACAAAAGAAGACCCGACCTGCGCGCCCCTGCACGAAGCTCCCTCTCACCCATTCACTACGACGACGTACTCATGAATCTCTCCATTTGAATCGACGCGGATATCCTTGACACCCTTCTCACTCACGCGGGACGACAAAATGTTTCGTTCATCCCATCATCATGGCGGCATGGGATTTTTTGCTAATGGTCTCGGTCACATTTGCATAGTTGTTTAGTCACTGAGGAGGGAGAGCGGTAATTTAGAGGGAACGAATGACCCGTGACATCTGTGGTTCCATTGAGCGGAAAGGAGCAAGGCAGTCGAGAAGGAGGGCGAGCGCGCTGTTTTCGTGCCTCAGAGACGCAATACCACAAGTAGAGGGGCCAAACAGCGCTGATAGATAGTCTCAATGGAAAGAGGATCAACGGACAAAATCTCGGGCTGAGTTACCAATCACTTCAGATGACTTTCATGTTACCTGTTCAAGCAAGACTCAATCCGGCGGGTGTGAGGCGTTGGACGAAGTCAAAAGCCGGAGTGGAGGTGAGCTTCTTTTATGTCGCAACCTTCATCCTGTAATAGCGCGTCGACTGACAGACGTGTATGGCTGGAGCGAAGAAGCTCTCAGCCGGCCCCCAACTCCAGCTTAAGGTATGGTGTCAACTGCCTAGAGGACCGCTCGGCCCCTGCCCTTCCCCTCTTATGAAACCCCGCCGGCCTCGTATTCGCATTGCCTCGTAGTGCAATATCCGAGAAAAACGAGGCCGCCGTCAACCACGTACCGTGAACGTTTCCTTCTCTGCAACTCAACGTCCACCCCCAGTGCGCGCCCGTTATTTTTTTTCCCTGGTCCTCCTGCTTACCGCGCCGGCTGCCGAATGCGTGCCGGTCGTCGTCATTTTCTGGATTCACTACTGCAACTGCAAGGCCCGATCGGATCCGCCGCTAGCGACATCAACGAGTGAGCGTGTGTGTGCGTGAACGCGGGCCCCCGTCTTGGCTGCCGTGCCGTGCCTCCATCCCACCGGAATGGACAGCCCAATGGATGGGTCCGGAGGGTCGTCTTCGGCGCCGGACTCGACGCCGACGGCGACGGCCACTACGCCCGGCGCTGCTGCGACAATGGGTGCGGGAGGCACCGTGGTCGCGTCGTCGACGGCGGCGAATGCGAATGCGACGCCGGTGGTTTCGAGACGCTCACATCCAAAATCAAGGACGGGCTGTAGGACGTGTAAGAATCGAAAAATCAAGGTGGGTGTTTTTTTTTGTTTGTGATGAAAAAAATGATATGTGAGACCTCTCACTCATGTCGCAAGTTCCTCTGGTCGGTCTCATTCACTCATGAGGAGTGTGTGGAACGGCCGAACTGTCTCTCATCATTGTTACACAAATCCCATACTGACACACTCTCATTTTAGTGCGATGAGCATAAACCATCCTGCAGGAACTGTATCAAGCACGCGGTCCCGTGCGACTTTCTCCAGTCCCAACGGCAGCCTTCCGCGTCATCGCTCCCGAGGTCGCCGGGGGGCACCGAGTCTCAGGGTCCGAGTAACGGCACCCACGGCGGTTCAATCCCGAGCTTTGGCGGAGGCGGAGGCGTCGACGACCTGTCGCTGAATCTCATCGACCTCGAGCTGATGCACAACTTCACCACCTTCGCCTACACGACCTTATCGACCGATCCCGTCGTCCGGCAGATGTGGAAGGTCCCCGTCGTGCGGCTGGCCCTCGAGTGCGACTACGTCATGCGCGCCTTGCTCTCCGTGTCGGCGCTTCACCTAGCCCATCACAGGCCTGAACGGAGAGACTTCTTCATCAGCAGGGCGCTCACCTATCACCAAATGGCCAGCCGGACGGCCATGGGCCTGATGGGAGCCCTGGACGGCGAGAACTGCGAGAAGCTGTATCTCTTTTCCGTGCTCACCATCTTCTTCGGTACGCTTCCCCCTTACGTCTCATTGCAGTGTCAAACTCCTGATCATTTCTCCAGCCCTCGCCTGTCCCCGGAAATCGTCCGACTCCCTGATCATGGGCGAGTCCTCCTTCCCAGACTGGCTGTTCCTCCTCCGCGGCACGCGGGGCCTGCTCAAGATCCTCGACCCGCGCGCCTACACCGGGCCGCTGCTGCCCATGTTCACCCACGGGCGCGAGCGCTACATGCACACGCGCGACGAGTCCAAGATCCAGTCGGACCTGCTGGCGGACCTGCAGCGCCTCGTGAACAAGACGTGCGCGAACCCGGAGCTGCTGCCCGTGTACAACCACGCCATCGACGAGCTGCGGCGCACGCTGAGCGTGTTCCTGTGGGACGGCGGCCGCGGCATGGACATCACCGACGCCTTCGTGTGGAAGTACCTCATGGCCGAGGACTTTCTGCCGCTGCTCAAGAGCCCCGGCGCGACGCAGGAGGCCGTGGCCATCTTTTCGCACTTTTGCATCCTGCTCAAGAGGCTGGAGAACGAGTGGTGGCTGCAGGGGTGGGCGACGCATCTGATATCGAGGGCGTGGACGTTGTTGGACCAGGACCATCGGCTTTGGATCCAGTGGCCGATCGAGGAGCTTGGGTGGGTGCCGCCTTAAGGGGGGCTGGCCGGTGTTTTCTTTTCGTTGAAGGGATGTGTGAGAGGTTTGTATAATTATCAGCAGTTAGCTAGCCCAGAGATACCTCGGGCTTGCTTTGTTACGGCATTGGAGCATTTTCTTAAGAATTTCTCAGATTTCATTTCCATTGTTCCATATAGTTTGGCATGTCACCATTGAACCTATCTTGTCCATGGGGCTCGCTCCCTCCACCGCGCTGTGCTGTTGTCTACTCAGAAGCATCCTCACACATGTCGTCTCTGGATGCGCAAACGCATGGGGCCCGGCCAAAGATTAAACGCCTCCTCGTGAGCCAGCTCAAACTCCTCATCGTCAAAGCCAAAGTCATACCGCCGCACCAAGCTGGCCAGCAGCATCATCTGCTCTATGTAGGTAATGTTCCTCCCAATACAGCCGCGAGCGCCCGCGCTGAACGGGATGAAGGAAGCCTGCGCGTCCTTGGCCTTCTCAGACAGCCACCGTTCGGGCACGTACCTCTCAGGCTCGGGGAAGAACGCTGGGTTCCTGTGGGCCGTGTAGATGGGGACCGCGACGGCGGTGCCTCCCGCGATCCAGTGGCCGTCGATCTCGTAACCCTCTGGGGGCGTAACGCGATGGAGCCCCGTGCAGACCGGAGGGAGGAGGCGCAGGGACTCGTCGAGGCAGGCGCGGAGGTAGGGCAGGTTCTTGACGCTGGCGTAGGTTGCGACGCCGTCGGTGTCTATGGCGGCGTGGAGGTCGACCTCCTCCCGGAGCCTTTTGAGAATGTCTGGGTTCTTGAGGAGGAAGTACATGACGTGGGTCAAGGCTATCGCCGTGGCGTCTGAGCCTGCGTCCACTCGTGGATGTCAGCATGCTGGAGAGGTGGCTTGGGTGAGTCTGCTCACGGAGTGTACTCATCTGTCCCTGGATCGCGGCGAATTGCAGGTTGCGTGCTTGTCCAGCCTTGTCTTGGAAGAGGCAGGTGGCTAGATCATCCAGCTCTTCTCCTGCCTCATGTTTGCGTACTCGCTCCCTGACCAGACACTCTAGCAGTTCGTTGAAGTCCTCGCCGAGCTGGCGACCAGTGCTGAAAAGCGCCGAGATGCTCTCCAATACGGGCTTCACACGCCGACACCAAGGCGACCAGACAATCATCGATAAAGCCCTCCTCGGCGCATGGAGACCCTCGATGAACGGCACAGTCTTCTCATCCCCATCGGACGTCGTGATACGCACTAGATCGTCCCCCCTCTCAAGACATCCCAGCCGCTGGCTCAGCGCAATGTCCACGATGGCCTCGACGGTAAACAAATTAGCCCATTTGCGAAAGTCCACCACAGCGAGGCCCTTCTCAGCACAGGCATGATCCAATCGCTGCGTCAGCCGCCGCACCTTGTCCGCGACCTTGAACTCCCACTGCTCGAGGTTGCGCGTGGCGAAGGCGTTGGACAAAATGCGGCGTTTGGCGGCGTGATCCTGCTTGTCGATGACCTCGATCAGGCCGGCGTGGGGCGTGAGGGTGTTCTCGTAGGAGCCGCCCTTGGCGCAGGGGGTCGCGTGGCCGTAGATGGCCCGGATCGCGCCGGGCGAGGAGAAGGAGATGGTGTTGGGGCCGAGTCGGAGGACCGGGTGGTGTTGGTGGGCACGGTGGACTTCTTTGGAGCGGAAGCCGCGGTAGCGAAGGATCATGAAGGGGATGTTGGATATGCCGGAGAAGTATGTAGCGTTTGGGAACCGACGGAGGCGCTTTTTGTCCCGGAGGTATGTTATCAGGGGCTCGAGAACGAGGACGATGAGGGTGAGGGATAGAAGTAATGCGATCATGGCGTCGGTCTTTGCGGGCGTGGCTTAGACGAGAAGTTGACACGGAGAATAACAAAAGACATCATGCTCGTCGAATGACTTTTGTCCTTTTATATCCTTCGTCCTAGCCTTTTCGACTGTGGCCTCTCTTCCTTCCCTCTGGGAGGGCCATGATCATCGTGACGAAACTGGTCTTCTCATGGCGCATACCCAATATAGAAAACGAGCCCGCAGACTGCTGCTCGTGACCTTTTAACATCAAAAACAAACCATCCTTCTGATTCCGGTGGAGGACCTTCACCTTCTTAACTCCTGTAGTTTATGCACGTCGGACGGAGCGATGTACTACATTGGGAAACTGTTGATCGCGTGGCGCTGGTTGGAGTATTACCGCATTTGGAAGATCCGCCCGCCTTCCCCAAATCGCAATTCTTCCCATTACCCATAAAAGCAAGGAGCCCCGACTTATCCAACAGCCTCTACCCCAGACTTTCCATCATCATCCCTCCGCGTTGCCCTCGGCCCCGATCTAACTTCGACATGGTCATAATCAAACAGTTCAACCCCGCGCCCGGGGGAGAGAAGACCCATGCTTCGAGGTTACGCATGTCATCCCGAGCGTGGTGAGTTGGCCTCGGCGGCACTTACACGCCCTTCTGACTGCTTGCGTAGCCATAGATGCCGTACACTCCACAAGAAATGTGAGCTTGTCCCCGTGCCTTGGAACTATAGCCGCACCCTCATTCATTGGGTATGGCATGAATGCTGACCATCCGTAGGTGACATTCGGAGCAGGAGCCAGACGTGCTCAAACTGCGAAGCCGGGGGCGCTTCGTGTAGGGGCGGTGGAACTAGCGAACTTCAAATACGATTTAGCGGGTTGAGCCATCCTGTAGAAGTCGCAGACGCAAGTCCCTTGTCCAAAACACGGTCTAGAACACGGGGAGATCGGAGGAGATCGAACAGACCGCTGCTTGCCGCCACCGATAACGAGGACAGTGGTGATGTTGTTGACGCCCCATGGCAACTTGCATCTGAGGCGCCACCACTCATTGAAGAGGAAGCTTCAGGCTCTACTCACACCCTAGATGTCGATAATGGCTCTGCCCAGGCTTCATTCCGCCCACAGCCATTGCCTTCACACGAGGCCAAACTTGTGAAACACTTCCTCACTACTTTGATACCCTGGGTAGGCGCAGATTTCAGTTGGAGTAAGTCAACAGAGCCTTCTGACATTAGGTAGTTTGACTACTGCTGGCCAAGTGGACCTTTTGGGTCCTACATCAAGTCGACTTTGCGCCGGGATCCGGGGATACTATATGCTGTCCTGGCCGTCTCGGCGAGATACCTCGAGGCAGTCCGCTCAGAGGAATGGGACTCCAATGAGTACGAACGGAAGTGCCTCGGCATCTTGATTCCGATGTTGAACGACAGGAACGTGGCGGAACCGCAGGGAGACGGGGTTCTCGTGTCCGCGTTGCTTCTGCGGCTCCTGGACGAGATGACCGGTCAGTCAAATCCAAGACGTTTGAACAATAAAATCGTATCGTATTTTTCTGACTTTTTGGGGAAACTATGCCAGACCCATCCGACAGCCACTTGGTCATCAGACATACGGTCTCAGCGCCTGTTCTCCTACGTATGAGGCAACACAATTTACAGCCGACGGAGCTGAGCAACGCCGCAATGGCCATCGTCCTAAGGCAGGAGATCTTTGTCGCGAACATGGTCAAACGTCCCGTTGAGCTCCTGGGCGAGGACTGCGGAATCGATGGCGGCCTAGGCCCAGCGTCTGATGTGATATGGGCGCATCGCATGACGGCGCACGCAGCACGCGTCACCAACTTCGCATATGGCAACGAGCGACGCACTACAGATCTCTGGGATCATCTTTGGCGGTACCTGGACAGTTGGGACCAAGCAAAGCCCTCTTCATTCGAACCTCTCAACGATATCGACGGCATCGGACCAAAGGACCGGGCTTCAACTTTTCCAGACATCTACTACATTCACGACTGCGCTGTGAGCGGCCGGCAGTACCTGGAGATTTGCAAGATCATCCTCCTGGCGCATGATCCTCGCACGCCGAGTCTGGGCCTGGGGCGAGCAAGCTATGTCAAGGCGCAGGAGGAAAAGATTAGGGAATCGGTCCGCATCGTCTGCGGAATCTGGATGTCGAACGAGGAGCATGTTCCGGCGCGGGTGTTGGTGGGCCTAGCAATTGGTATCGCGGGCGAGCTTTTCACAGATCCAGATGAGACCAGGCACCTGCACAAAATAGTCCTGGAAGCTGAGAGGCACGTCGGATGGCCATGTCTCAAGGTTAGCCCCAGCTTGCAGGCCTTTTGGGGCTTGGACGATGCAGACATTGCTCGTTGAGGCCGACGTCAACATGTAGGCGTGCTTTAGGTCCTTGTCACGTTCAAGCCGGTATCATGTCCTGGGAGCACAGACATGAGCGTTCCTGGCAGTGAAGTGTCAACGAGCAGACAAGTTCAATAGAATTTGTTTTGATGTTTGATGTCTCAAACGAGTGACTCTAGTTTGAGAGAAAATGAGCTCCAAGGGAAGCCGTTCTTAGAGAATGGGAAACCCAAAATCTACCTCAGATCTGGAATTGGCAATGAAAAAGTACCAGAGCGAACTGTCTGAACAGAAACGCATTAACACCTTAAGACTTCGACTTTTCCAACCAGATCGTAGACTCGATGCCCGTGGAGCCCAACGGGCGCTTCGCATCACCACCAGGGGCATCGCCCTTGACGGCAAGAATAAGATCGGAGAAGCCAACTCCCCTCTCCTGCATGCGCTTGACGTCTTTCTCAGTCTCAGCAGCGCGAACTACCACCGCGGATCGGGAAGACCCCTGCGGCACGCCGATGTCGAAGGTGTACGAGCTCTGTCCGGCGGCAGGCTCGGACTTGGTGCCGAGAATCTTGGAGTAGACATGAGCGTACTCGGTCAGCAGGTGCTTGGGCACGAGGATCTCGCAGGCCGCAATGCCAGTGGCACCACAAGGGTGTGTTGTCTTCTTCTCGTCCTCACTTGGAACCCTTCCTGCTCGCGGGGTGACGTCGTGGCAGAAGAACGGGACGTCGATTCTGCCGTCGGCGAAGAGCTCTTGGCCGGGCGTCTTGTCGCCTTGGGAGAACTCCGGCCGCGTGACCTTCCAGCTGATCTCCACACCGTCAGCCTTCTTGCGTGAGCCCGCAATCGGTTTGCCGAATTTGACGCCAAGGCCGGCGTCTTTCTCGGGCCCCTCGGACAATCGTCCGTTGACCGTCCCCACCGATTGTTCTGCGGAGTGGGTTGTATCGGTGATGGCGAAGTCGATCAGCCCCGGGGATTTAGGGCCCCAGAATCTCATCGGCAACTTCTCATTATCCAGAGCCGGTGGCTTATCGTACCAGTTGAAGAACTCAAGGTAGGTGCCATCGGCGAAGATGACCAATTTGTTGCGAGATGGTTGGCCATCGTGGTAGCCCCCAGGGGTGACGGTGAAGTTGTCGGTAACCCAGGCGGGAAGGTTGTCAAAGAAGGGAGTATCGACTAGAAGGACGATATGGTCTTGTTGCGTGGAAGTCATGGTGCTGGGTTTTGGTTGTAGTTGATTGCGGAGGTTGCATATCCCCTCACTTGTGCTTTCAAAAGTGGTTAGGGACCATGCATGACATGTGGGGTAGATGATCTACCACCCCCCTTGGCCAGTTATATACTAAATTGAGACGTATAGGTAAACTACTATGTGAGAAGACCTTCAATACTTGATTGGGAAGTTGTGATGGCTTCACTTTCCTCACTAAGGTACATAACCAAGTGGCGTAGTACTGTACATGTACAATGCTTGCTAATGTCGATTGAGTGAATTGAGACTAGGCTGTACCCACGAGAGGATCAAGCTGCGTCTCTCTTCAGATCAACATCAGTCACGTCGTCGAGAACGGCCTGATTTTGAAGCTTTGCTTGCAGTCTGGCAAGCTTGTGTCTCCTCGTATCTCTTTCCGTTTGACGCGTAACCCACCAGGTATAGCCATTTGTCAACCCGCAAAGACTTACAAGTCCCATGGCAAGCCCAAATGGCAGCTGATACCGCGGTTCATAGACATCTTGGAACATCTGCGGCCCAATAGCGTCACCGATCTGTCCGTAACTGTTCACGAAACCGATAGCAAATGCAGAACCCGTTGCTCCATTCACAGTTTGAGAACGCCACGACCACATCATACTGTCCCAACACAGAGTGAGCAAGATGATCTTATAGGTTGAGTGGCAGACGACCGCTAGAGAGCGTCGCTCGCAATGGGAGTGGAGAAGTTTACTTACGGAAACCAGGCGATAGAGAATGCATTCCCGATAATCATGGCAATGTAGACACCGATGTCGTGAGGATAGGCAACCAGAACGGAATAGCAAGCCACAGTGATGACGCAACTGAAAATCGGAAATAGAGGGACCGGAATTCTTGCTTTGTTGGACGCCCATCCGGAGCCCAGAAGGAGAGCAATCGTGACGACTGACATGGGTATATTGAGAATCTGGGCAGTAGTAATACCACTGTTTTTCCACGGTTAGTATCGAGAGCGCAAGTTGAGTGCAAGTTGAGTTAGTTGTCTCACCTAAAACCCATGTTGGAAATGATGGTTGGCTGGTAGAATTTGACGCCGCTGCTACCGGTGGTCATTAGAGCCCAGCTGAGCGTAAAAAGCCACAGCCTCTTGTCGCGGAGCGTTATGAGAATCTCCTTGGAGACGAAATTCCTTTCGACAGCCCTTGGAGATTTTTGAGGTAGTCGTGCTTGTAGGAAAGCCTTTTCTGTCGGTGACAACCATTTGGTTGTCGCAGGAACTTTGTTCAAGTCAGTCCAAAACAACGCAGTGGTGGTTTGGTTGCAGGTGATGCCAATCACCGCTCAACATACAATCAGGCAGGAAGAACCAGACCACAAACGCAAGCACGATGGTCAGAGCTCCCTGTACTATGAATAGCCTGTCAAATTGAAGTCAGCAGATTGAGCAAGTGAACCTTGTTGCAGAATGATTTCCTACCACTGCCAACCAGAAATGTTGTAAGCTCCCGAGACGAGGTGGAAAGCGTATGCAAGAATTCCTCCTATTATACCTGCGACATTTCCGACAGTAACTTTCGATAATTAGCGCTGGAAATACAAGGGGAAAGGGTGAGGCTAACAGATTCAGACGAGCCTCACGGCTATCTCATCAGGACGATACCAGTAGGTGAGCTGGAGGATGATAGCGGGAAACATCCCCGCCTCTGCCTAGAACATACTTAGACATGAATGCAAGCATTTCAGTTTTGTTATCTCTCAGAGCTTACCAGTCCAAGTAAGAAACGCACGGTGTAGAGTCCTGCCAGGTTGGTTACTGCGGAGGTGTAAGCCGTGATAAGGCCCCTGACAATCAGAGATCATACCGTCAGCTTCGCCAGACAACAAAATGTTGCTGTTCGTTTACAACTACTCACCAGGTTATCATAATTCTTGACTGCCACCGGGAAGGACTGATTCTTTTCAAGACCAAGTTTGACGGAATCTCTGCTAAAATGTAAGGGACCTATCTCGCCAACGTCAGCTTAAGTCGACACCCGCCCTTCTTTCGGGGACGTTACTGACGGTATATAGGATGCTAATCATGCCGAACTGGTCGGAGGTGATTCCAAGTTGTGTCAGTATGTTTTCATTCGTTCCCTTATTCATAATGCGAGCATTGGAGGCCTATGCAAAACTTCCAAGTCAGAAAAAACCAATCATGTTGTGAGTTGACCAAAGAAACGCTGCGTACTGACATTGTTTTCATCAATCTTCTTCATCAAATACAGCATTGACAGAAGAGGTAGCAATCGCCAGTCGACTTTGCGGATCAACTTCCGCTCCTCTGCCGCAGTCAGTGCTGTCAGAGCAGTCTCTCGGCTGATTTCCTCATCCGCTCCGAAGGCATTCGAGACTTCCTCTCCACGGATGGCTGTTCTGAATTTGAGATGGAAAGACGGTGGCTCATCCACCGACAGCGCCGAGATTTCCTGAGTTCGCGACATGACGAAGCCTGAGTGGTCATCCCCCTCGACTACAGCAGATATGAGGAATGGCGAAGGTGGAGCTTATGCGTAAGGAGAGGTAGCGATGGATCATGGCAATGCCTGTGATGAAGAAACCTCATACATGATGAGGTTAGCCGCATATAAACAGGAAGAATAGCATGCAATTGCCATCAAGACAGTTGAGTATCGATAGGCTGTAGCTAGTCACGCCATCATGAAGAAGAAGCACGCGCTCAGTACCTTTATTGAATGATCGCGTTGAGAATCCTAGAGTCAGAGTTTTCAAGAGGGGACTGGCTTGAACGTTCGTGAACTTATCCAGTGGGCTGCATCACGGTGCTGCATTGGAAAGGCGTCGCACGGTTTGTGGGGGGTCATCCGCCATGCAGCTCTTCCATGTCAGTTACCAAGCCGCGACAAACATCGAATCCGTTCGGATTCAGCTCTTTGTAACGGAGCTTCAAATTGACGGATTGCCAGGCCCGTAGCAGAGGGCCCATCTTTATCGACACCTTTTGCGAATGATGTTTACTGCGTCGCGATGTCCATGCGTGCTCTAAGGAATCCATCCAACGGCATCCGCAGACAACCTGCAGGGCGAATAACGTTTGATTCATTCATCCTTACTATCTTGTAGATAAAAGCAGCTGCGCTACGCTGACCCTGGCCATGTCAGGAAATTACTGGCAAGTAGGATGGCTGTAGACCTTAGAAAGTCTGGGCACATTGCCATAGGTGGGTGATGTGAGAGGTTAACACCGAAATTCTTAGGGTTTCTGCAAGTTCAAGTATATCTAGGACGACTGGCTGCAAAGAAAAAGAAGGACGAGAAACACGCATGGAAGACAACACATAGTAGTAGGGGTAGTGCACAGCATGGAGAAAACGAACTTTAACGTCGGAATCTTAGATGCGAGCAACGCCAAATCTCACGATCGCCGCCAAGTCTTCCTTATGTTCTTCAGTACCACTGTCGGGAAAACATCCCCTTGTTACGAGAATTGCTTGGGGCCAGTAAACCCGCTTCTTTTTATATCCATCTTTCAAAGATACGCTATCTTCTCTTGTAAAGACTATCAAAGGATATGCAGGTCTGTACAACCCTGTACCAACCATATGCTTGGCATATCCACAACCAACCATATCTTGTTTCTACGTTAACATGGAATGTAGCCCTGCTCTACTGCCCCATACTTCTCCTCTTGCGCCAGAGATACCATCAAGCACGCCAGAGCCCCATGGCCGTTAGGGCTGTCTGCATGATCAGGCAAGTCCATTTGGTAGCTAGTGGTCAAAACTACAAATGACGCAGCGAAACAAGCATGTCAAAGGCGGTGCTTCTGATTCATTATTTGACTGGAATCCTACGACAATTGATCGGGATACTATCGAACATTCAACACAACTCAGTGAGAAGACGAAATGACGAGACACAGTGAGAAGAGCGATCTTGAGGACCTTCTGACGACGGCAGAGATCCAAGACATAACAGAGAGAAAGATGCTGTCTTCTGCTTGGGACTACTTCGCGAGGGCTGCGGACGAGGAGAGGGCATTGGAAAGGAACAGCAGTGCTTTCAACCGGTAGGGTTATATTAGTCGATGGAGATCATGGAAGAAACTGACCTGTCAGACTATTCGTCATTCCACGTGTATTGAGAGACGTGAGCAATGTGAACACCGACACAGCTTTACTTGGTCGTACATACTCTATGCCCGAGGGGGTAGCACCAACAGCGAGACAAAAACTAGCTGGTGGTAACGGGGGAATAGACACCTCAAGAGTAACGGCCAAGATGAATCTGAATATGACTCTGTCGGCCGGCCCGTCTACACCAATAGAGAATGTAGCTAATGCTCGAGAGAAGTTGTAAAGGTCTCCGCCACTTTGGGTGCAAGTATATCTTCAGACCGACGTAAGCAAGAGCGTACAATGGATCAAACGTGCCGAGGGTAAGTTGATTCTTGTTCCCTGTCACGTCCGCTCCTGAGAACTAAGCCGTTACTCACAAAAACAGCCGCTGGCTGTACTGCTCTTGTTCTCACCGTGGATACTCCTATACTCGGCAGCAGATTGTCTGAGCGCCGCAGCCTTCTCGCCGAAAAGCAGCTGAGAACGAAGCCCATAGCTAGTGCAGCTACCGTGAATCGCATCCTAATGGACGCCCGAACCAAGCAAGAGGCCAAGGATATCGCCGATTCCGCCGGCGGCGCTCTGATTAACTCAGCCCTGATATGGGAGACCACGATACCGTTCCTTCGTTCTGTGTCGTCTATGAAGATAATTGTTAAAGGCATCATGTCACCTGAGGATGCGAGGCTTGTAGTTGACTACGGGGTTGATGGCATCGTGGTTTACAACCACGGGGGGAGACAGCTGGACTGCGTGCCTGCCACTCTGGAGCTGTTGCTGTAGATTGTGGAGGTCGTCGCGGGCAAGATACCTGCGATTCTTGACGGTGGGGTAAGGCGGGGAAGTGATGTATTTAAGGCGATAACCTTGGGCGTAGACTTCGTGCTTGTTGGTCGTCCAGTGCTTCGGGGACTGGCTTACGATGGAGAAAACGGTGTTTCTGCAGTGTTGAACATCTTGGAGAGAGAGCTGAGCCAGACGATGGCACTAGCAGGAGTAAGCTCCATTTTCAGAAATTGGCCGATCGTATCTCGGGGTGACGAGGGAAGATGACTTCGGGATCAAACGTCTATAGACATATGCCGTCGGATTTGTCTTGCTTAGGCTGTGTTGTCCACCGCAATATCACCACGGCCCAGAGTCTGAAGGTCTACTCCCCACACCAGATTACGCTATTGATGCAAAAGTCTCGTGCTGAGCAACATCGCTACATATCCTCGAATGTTTGAAGATGATAATAGCAGTAAACGACACCGATACAACTGTTGTCTCCTTCAGCATTAACAACGCTCATCTCAGCCCTGAATCCCGAAAAATCATGATCAAACCATCGCGGCATCCGACTTTCTATTGACTGATTGTGGGCTCGACGGTAGACGGCTAGGCACCGGAGTGAATGTATGGTGCCCATAGAATCGGATCTCGGCCAGAGCGGACCTCTTGCGTAGCATAACGTAATGCTTCCGCGATGACTCGATTCGTAGCATTCCTCCGTCCATCTTGTGCCAAATACTCGTAAAAGAGTTTTGCTACCTGAATGCAAGTCTCATCGTCGGCCGACCAAAGGGAGCCTATTACGTGCCCAAATCCAGCCACCTGGAAGGCACTAACAATATGAAGGGCTTCGTCGGCGAACTGCCCATCCTTGACTTCTGCCGTTGAGCATGCCGAGAGATAAGCAATGCGCGCCTTCTCAAGGGTTCGCTTTTCTGAAATTGCTTGGACAGTAAGTTTATCCAAGGATGGCCCTTCTAAGGTAGTTATTTGCAGAAGCAGGTGGCTGTCCGAAGGGTTTGCGCGATCTGAAGATCCGTGGCACGCAAAGTGAACGATATCTGACTGTCTCATCCTGTCCATTACCTCTTTCGCCGATGGTTTTTCCAGACACTCAACTTTGAAAACATCTCCAAGAGCTTGCTTAATAGCAATATTTTCTTTAATAACCCCAGAGAGTGATTTCTGGCCAGGCGTCTCAGGCATCGCAACGACTAGAACCGAAGCCTTCGCGTGCTTGTCGCTATCCCTCGCTGCACAGGATCTCGCATACACAAGCGACTTTATTGTCGGAGTGTAGGAGGGAATTGTTAGACTTAGCGTATCTTCTCGAGATCCATCCGAATAAAGGCCGGCAGCGTGGAACGGAAACGAGCTGGCGACGCCTGTGCCAATCCACCACACCCGAGGAGGTTCCGCAGAAAGAGCGATATCAAGCTCCGTGAAGATCGGCCTCACGCAAACTCTCCATAGCCAAGACAAGAACTCGATGCTGTATCTTGCCGTGACGTCTCTTTCGCTTTTGATGTCTCGAACATGTTTCTCGCCATATCCATCCTTTGATCTGGACATTCCGAAGGCGCCAGCCAAGACCGAAACCTGTGATGGAGTGATCTCTGGTAAGTTGATCGCTTTGCAACCGGACCTGGAAACAATGATAGCATCACTGCTAATGCTTGTGACGTTTACAATGATAATCGGTCCTTCGGTGGCACACTGAAGCAGTTCGTCCAGCGTTGGCTCTAGGAGAAACCTTTCGTGGCCAGGATGACGACGAATCCGATCCAGGCAGTCCTCCAATTGGCGATGTGCTTCCGTGCGCTCGTGAATTAAGTGGTCGCGGGCTCTAGGCTCTACAACATCATCGATGGGTTGGGATGCCAAAAGCCGTAATCGCTCAAATTCGTTCGCCAAATCAGGCTGATCCTTCTTTAAGGCGGAGGCATCGCTACGGTTGTCGATCAAGTAACCGAGGATGAGGCCCCGTCCGAATTCTACTTGTTGAAGGGCTTGACTTACACGGCCCGTCCTTGCAAAAAGAGAACACGCGTCGGACGCAAGTCCTGCGGTCTGCAAAACTGCGTGCTGCTGATCTTGCCGGTCCAAAGAGCGGTCACAAACAGAGGGAAGAAGCTTCACTGCGTCCTGGGCCAATTCGCAAGCCCGCTCCCACATCGGCAAGTCTAGTAAAATCCGAATAGCCCATCGAGCCGCTTGCACCCGCACAACAGGTATTGCGGTAGGACATTTTGTCGATTCTTCGAAAAGGCTGAGAGCGGAGTCGCGATCTTCGATGTTTCCTGTCTGCTCGTAGCTGCAGAACAGTACATCCCCGAGGTTGCTTAGATATTTAGCCAAATCAGGATGGTTCTTGGGTGTCTCATCAACAGCACTCTTTGCAGTCCGCCATGCATCGTCAAGAATATCCATGTCATTTGTCTTTTCGTATTGGCGGAATAAGAAAAGCCCGAGGTTGCTTAGTAGTCGTGCCCGGTTGGAGTGGCCGTTGGGTGTTATTTGGACCGCTTTCCTCATGCTTGATATTGCAGTCTTGAGGTCGTCCATGTTTCTCGTGTCCTCGTATTGGCTTGAAAGCATGTTTCCACGGCTATTTAGACATGTTGCGAGGTGAGGATTGCTCTCAGGTGTATTAGAGATTGCTTGCGTCGTATTCAGCAGTGCGGCCTTAAGGTCATTCATGGCCCCTGTTCGTTGATATCGGCGGAATAACTTATCGCCAAGGCTGTTCTTCCACAACGATATATCGGGATGGTCGTTGGGCGTAATGGAGACCGCTTGAGCTGTATGTAGTATTGCAGCTTCAAGGTTGCCTCTGTTCCCTGTCCGATCGTATCGGTTCAACAACAACCCCCCAAGGCTGTTAAGATATGATGGTCGTCCGTAATGGCCCTCAGGTGTGACAGAGACTGCTTGCTCTACCATCGATATTGCAGAGTTCAGGTCGTCGAGGCTTCCTATCCGCTCGTAGCGACGCAATAGTCTCAGTCCAAGGTTGTGTAGCCGCTTCGTAAGGTCGGGATCATTCTTGGGCGTAGCAGAGACTGCTTGCTCTGCATAAGACACTGCAGTTTCGAGATAGCTCAAGTTTCCGGTCTCCTCATACAAGCTAGAGCATATAGACCCGGTGTTGTTTAATAAACCCAGTAGAACGGGATCATTCTGAGGCGTCAAAGAGACGGCAAGACTCATATTTGACAACGCAGCCTCGAGGTCGTCCGTGTTCCCTGTTAACTTGTATCGGCTGAACAGCATTCCCCCAAAACCATTTAGCCAGCCTGCTCGATTTTGATCGTTTCCATTCGATGTGGGCGTTGGTTGCGCTTCCTTCGTACCCGCTATCGCGACGTTAAGGTCATCCACATCTCCTGTCCGCACATATCGGCGGAATAGCATGTGCCCAAGATCATCCAGCCATGGTAATCGTTCGGGGTCGTGATTGGCCTTGGTAGATATTGATTCTGCTCTTTTTGCATTCGATATTGCATTTTCAAGGTCGTCCAAGCTTTCCGTCTCCTCGTGTCGGCATAGGAACATGTTTACAAGGTCATCTAGCCAACTTGCTAGGTTGGGATCAACCTGAGGTACCGCGGAAACCTCTTGTGTTGCAGTCGATATTGCCTCGTCAAGTGTGTCCAAGTCTCTCGTCTCACAGTATAGATGAAAGAGCATATTCCCAAGGTTTATTTTGCTTGGCCGCCTTAACAGGATTCGATCGGTCCCGGGTGAAGGGATCTCCGGGCTGTCTCGCCCGTCGTACGTCTGCTCCTCATCTTCGGTCATGATGAAGGTGCCGGACTTTGAGTTCTCCTAGAGTCTTTCACGTCTTGAAGAGTTTTGTCGTTGGTGGCTAGTCTTGCTCAGCGCTGTCCGATGGAGACTTCGAAACATGCAGAGAGGGCCCGTCGAGGGTAAGCAAGTTTACTCGATGACGGACCGCTAATCTATGGGAGCTTTAGAATCAATTCAGTTTCACTTGAGTAAGAAAACTCTTACCTTGACATGATTTATCACTTTGCTATACCTTGCCTCGGTCGGCGTCTCACTTCGCCAGTGACCTTCCCTCGTTGCGGAACTTCCAGAACACTCAGCGGTCGTTGTCTTGCAAAGATGTATGGTTTGTCTTACAACTCAAGGAATCTAATTGATGAACCGTCACGGTCATTCGGAGAATGTTGAAGAGTTCACGCAGAGTTCACTCTCCAGAGAGGAAGACCGAGTGTTCTTAGTACGTAGGGGGTAATCATGAATATGACGTGGCTGAAATGTGTTTGACACAACCCACTTACGAGCTCCCACATGGAGTGCCTGCATGGTACACGCTGTCAGTCACAGTCACGTTGTGTAAACTGCTCCACCCAGTGATGTACAAACCTGGCAAACTGCCATGCAAGAGATGAGCCTCCCCTGCCACGAGAACTTTTCACTGCTCGGCAGACTTCGCAGAAACTACAACTTTGGGCACCGAGGCCTTGCTTCAAAACCATAGTATGGCACACAGACCGCGGTACATTCCAAATATTCCGCAATGGCATTCAACGATGGGCAATCATCGCCATGGAATGTAATGGTAAGGCTGTCGCGTGCTCCCCAGGAACATCTGCTGACCGCAACAGTTATGTGCATGCGTTGGCCCCTCAAACGCCAACGCAGCTCCAGGGGTATATGCAGGTTCAATCACATATCCTGCATCATTTAGGCAGCAGGAATTCCGCGCCGTTCTCATAGCACCACGTGCGGGTGAAGAAGGGCAGAGTGCGGTTGGCATGCGGGTGGTCCGGTAATCACAAAGCTGCCAAGACCAGAAAACGGCTTCCAGTGTGTGTTTGTACGAACAACGTCAATCGAGGAGCTGATAAATCGGTGAAACTTGCCGCGAGCCTGATTGATGCTTCTAAGCTTCCAGGTCAAAGCAGATTAACGTTTGCATGCAGGCAATGGTATGTGTGTAGTTGATTCCCGAGCACATGGATCATGACCCCATTGTGTACCAGTATCATTTTCCACAGAGTCTTCAATTTAGTAGCGATGACTTCAACTAAACGCGCCCTTTTGATCGCCAGCCCCTTTTCAGGCCTCCGCGGCCCGATCAACGACGTCAAGATCATGGACAAGGCACCCTCCTCCGTACTCAAAACAGTGCAGATGCATAGCACCAATAAACCATTACAAAGTCAAAGGCAAGTTGATTTATTTAGAAACATCCTAGAACCTGAAACTTTATTTGTCAACTTCCAAATGTATCCCAAGCTTGGCATAGCAGAGCGGGCCGATGAAAATTGGATACGCAGTCCACACTCTGCTTAGAACATTTTCCTTCCTGGAGATAATTTGAAGCCCTCGAGTGATCAGCCGCGTGTTTCTACGAGATCAGCGGGCTTCTCGTTCTTGACTTTGAGTGTCAGCCCTGCTTGCTGCTCACCTGGGTGTTGTGGCCACCCTGAAAGTGTCCTGCCGTGGTTTCTCAGAGATGCTGCGCTCTGGTCAGTACATTGCATCTGAGTTGCAAAGTCTTCATACCTGGAACATGTCCCATTTCGGCAGCAGATTGCTACCCAAGTTGGTGACGCCGCAAACGGGATCGAGGGCCCTGGAAAGTACCGTAAGGCCTCCGCCGCGGTGGTATCGAGAAGACATAAGCTGCAAGCAGCCCCACAGGTCGCAGGCAGCCTTGGAACCGTCGTCTCCCTTGTTGAACTTGTCAAGCAGAGCCCAAGTGCACGACTGCCAGGCATTCGCTTCGTCTTCGGTCACCGGCTTCTGCGCAACAGCAACAGCTGCGAGTAGAGTGGTGAGTGACAGAATAGAGATCTTCATTGTCGACTTTCTGGAGTGTGGTCAGCAATGGTGATGTTGGATGTTAGGAAAGGAACGAACGGCGGTACAGATTCAAGTATCAAGCTTTATTGGAGTATAATGTTTGGTGTGGAGTGCTTGAGATTTCGAAGTGATGACTTTGTCTCTTGCTTTTATCCTTTTCTCCTCCCAAGCCTGAGCTTGTTTCATTCGGCAGCAACCAAAAATTTTCATCGACCGACCTCAGAACCTGACACCACAATGCCGATACAATCAGACCATGATATAATAGACTTTTACGCATAGGCGGGGTTCAATGTTGCGTCACTTGCGAGGAGCCGCAGGCTTGTGTCTCGTCGGCCAGCAGATCAACGTAGCACCTATGTTACAACCATCGCGATCGATGCTTTAGAGATGCGGGTTCCGGTGCCAATTAACAGGAATGTCTCTATTAGGCGCGGTAGTATTAATCCGTGAGGCGAGAGTCACTATAGACAGCTGTTGTCGATTCACGGAAACGGGAGGCGCGTACTCCATCGCATCTCATACCGGCACGGAAGATAGGCGGGTCCAGAACAGCAGCTCAACATTGTTCTGCAGTCATCACAACATGAGCCTCACGCACTACGTGCTAAAAACATTACACCAGTTAACCAACACCGTGATTCCACTTCCTGATTGGATCCATGTTCAGACCGCCCTCGGCCGCCTGCCACACCGGCAACAGGCCGAGGTTCATAGGCTCAGAGTCTGCTTCAACCGAGTCTGCTTCAACCCGATGAAGGGCTGATCTTTCGCTTGGAACGAGTTTTAACACGTCAACGAGAGTTCAGTTCGGCTGTCGGCCTTTGTGCTCAGGCGGCCTGGAGGCCGCGTTGAACCAAAGTGCGTGACTTCCGTATGTGAAGACTTTGGCACAACATTAGCTCCCGAGCGGCAACAAAAATGATGGCTCGGAGAAGGTAATTGGGTTGATTGATTGGGTATGGCACGTTCATCAGCCGCCTTGTATTGCTTGTAGTTTGACCGAATGACGCGTTGCACTTAGATGAATCATCATAACAACAAAGTGACTGGCAGAAGACCACTTTACACCTGAGTATAAAGGCATAGTAAGGAAATGAAACTCTCTGTTCGTTCAAGATTCAGTCAGCATCATTCATCGACAACTTATTCTGTTACACTCATCGTTCATCGTATCTTTATTACACCACCGCTCAGCGCTTTTGCAAAGATGCGCCTGGCTATTCTAGCGCCTCCTTGGCTTCTCTTCAGCTGCTGTCTAGCCAAGCAGTCCGCTCAGATCTTAGGCAGTCCATTCTCCCTGGGATCCTCCGGATCAGCCATTCAGCATAATCTGGACAGCATCATACCTGCCACCGATCCCAACTCAGGCCGCGTCAAGTGCTGTCCTATCGGTACTGATTTCGACGGCAAGAGCTGTATCATCACCGGGCCCTCATGTCCTCCGGGAACGTACCGCAAGGGCAAGCACTGCCTTCACAACGCTCCTCCGGAATGCGGCAACGGCTACGAGTACAGCGACGGCCAGTGCACCTCTCGGAAGCCGCCTGCCTGTGATCACGGCACTGTTTTTGTTGGCAAGCACTGTGTTCATGAGCGTGCCCCCACCTGTGGCGAGGGGTTTCAGCTTCGTGGTGCCATCTGCGAGTCCCTCAAGAAGTCTCAGTGTCTTGAGGGCGATGTCGTTCATGGAGCCAGCTGCGTGACGCCCGAAGGCCCGTCTTGTCCTAACGGATCCAAAGTCGAAGGCGCTTCGTGTATCTCCAAGAAGGACCCTCAATGTCCACCGGGAGCCCGCTACGTGTCCTCGAGCCGGCAATGTATGTCAGAGAAGTCCCCTCAATGCCCTGATGGGGCAACTCTTGAGTTCGGCCAATGCACCTCTTCCGAGGGGCCAAAGGTATGCCCATCCGTATGAACGAGTGGCGAAGATAGGGAAACGTGTGCTGATCAACACCTACAGTGCCAAGGCGACTCGACCTTTGATCCTGAACGTGGATCCTGAACGTGGATCCTGAACGTGGATCCTGCACAGTGAGCAGCAAGCCCCAATGCCCTGGCGAGACAACCCTTCAAGGACAATCATGTGTGGACGTTAGCGAAGCCAAGTAAGTACTTCTATTCAGTATCATTCAAACCGATGGGAATGAATATTAGCCAGAGAGCTGACTCAACCACACTGCAATTAGATGCCCCCCTGGAACAAAGATCTCTACAGACAGAGCATCGGGAATTTCTCGCTGCTGTCCAGACGGGACGACTGTCTCAGGAGATACTTGCAAGTCCACGACGGCCACTGAGGATTGCCCATCCGGTACAACATACAAAGATGGAGAGTGCATTAAGTATTCCAACCGTCAACCTTCGTGTCCGAGCGGCTGGATGCTAGAAGCAGATCAGTGCGTGAAGCGAGGAGTTCCGAATTGCCCCAACAACACCTATCCGGATGGTGATACCTGTGTATCCACCTTGGAAGCGCCCGGCTGCCCCGAGGGATACCTGTACCACGACTCAAAATGTATTCTCCGATCAAGTCCCACATGCTCCGGGAAGACGATCCTCGAGGGCGACAAATGCGTCAGCTACGCTAAGCCAACGTGCGACGGTACGTCTGCGGAGTGGGATGGAAAGCGGTGCAACCTCAACCGGAGACCAGAGTGTGCGCGAGGAATTCTTCATGATGGTGCCTGTGTCATCGGGAGCAAGCCCTCTTGTCCTGAAGGCACTGCTTTTGATGGCGTCGGATGTCTATCCATCAAGGACGCCCCGGTCTGCCCATCTGGCTCAGTGCTCAATCAGGAAGGGCAATGCGTCACGACTATTCAAGCCACTTGTACACCACCGGCAGTCTACCGAGACGGCCGTTGCATTCATGGCCAACCTGCATGCCAAGCTGGGTTCGTTCTCACAGATGACGGGTGCCGATCGGTGGATGGACCCAGCCGCCCAGACGGCAAGACCATGGTCAAAGGGACCTGCATCTCGATCGAGAAAGAAACATGCAAGCCCGGTTATGTTCTCAAGGATGGGCAGTGCGTGTCAGCGTTGCCGCCTAGCTGTGGAGAGAATCAAGTCTTCAACGGCACTGGCTGCATGGGAGTCACGCCCGACTGTCCTGAGAATACCTATTTCGAGAACGGCGAGTGTGTTTCGAGCAACGACCCCAAGTGCGATGCCAACTTCGTCTTTAATGGCAAGAGCTGTGTTGCTGTCAAGGAGCCTACCTGTACCGAGGGTCACGTCTACAACGCCGTCACCGGGGAGTGTTTCGCCAAAGCTGTACCGGAGTGCCAGGAGGACGAGATTCTCGAGGATGGACGCTGCAAGTTGGTGACTGCGCCGTGCGTCGAGTACAAGTCTTGCCTGGCTGGCGCACAAGGCCTTATTTCTGGTTCTGGTGGACCACGCAAACCAGCTGGTGACTCCGGGGACAAATTTCAGAAGCCTTTGACCGGGAAGCCTTCATCCAGCGAAGACGTCAAGAAGGGAGCACCAGACGGTACGCAGGCCAACATCCCTGTTGACGACCCAATCACCAATAACGAGACAGCCAAACGCGATACGCAGGCCGGCAAAGACAGCACCAATCTGGCAGACAAAGAGCAGCCAGACGTCTCTACATCGCCAGGTACAGAATCGAACTCCGGGAACACGGGCACAGTTCCGGACCCTAACGCCCAAGTACCCGATCCTGCCACGATAACCCAGGGCGGATCTGGCGGACTTGAGAACGGCGCCGGAGCGGACGGGCCCACAAAGCCTCAGTATCCCCCAAGTGACGAGGGCGAGGCTAGCTATGCTGGTCATGGATCTGGTTCAGGGGCATCTGGCATAGCTCAAGACGGTGCTGGACGTGAAAGAGGTGGCAAATGGGTCGAGTGTGCAGAAGAGATCCCCGATCGAAGAAAGTTCAGAAAGTGGATTGCGGACGACGATGCTGGTGTTCATGGACGCATTCCATCAGGCCAAGGTGGCACTGGTGATCTGCCTTCTGGTGGTCAATGGAAGCTTGATGTCGACATGGGAGGTCTTCCAGTTGGCCTGGGAGGCAACTTTCGAGCCGGCGGCGGTCAGGCGCAGCCAGATAGCCAACAAGTCCCAGCGGGAGAAGCCAGCCAGGGCTCACAGCTATGGGGGCCCGGCAAGATGAAAGGCGCCTTTGCGGACTGGCAGAAATCTGCAGATGGCGTCCAAAAGACAGCGGCAGATGTTGCGGGTGATTCTCAACTGGGAAGTGGCGGAACCGGACAGATTCCATCTGGAGGAAGTTGGCAATACAAAGGCGGCAGTGCTGGAGCTGGGTCATACGGCACCTGGAAGCCAACAGGACATGCCTCTAGCGAGTCTTACCACTCGAGGCTGAACAAAGGAAATTACGGTTCTTACCAAGGTGGAAGTAGAGTAGAGACAGGTTCTGGAGGCGGGTCAGCTGGAGATGCTTCTGGCGAGACTTACTATTCGAGGTTGAGGAAGGGAAGTTACGGGTCTTACAAAGGTTGAGGTAGGTATCCAAAAAGCTGACTGGAAATACCTCTGGTACCTCTCACTGGTCGAGGGCTATGAGGGTTGACTTGAGGGGTAAAATGTAGACATATGAGTTAGGGTACAGGCGTTGCAGGAGGCGGAGGCGGAGGTTCTCAGGTCATGAGAAAAACAAGAAGCGGAAGGTTCTCAATGCAAAGACGACAACGATAAGCCGGAGGCTCGAGGCAGAGATGTAGTCTTGCGACCACAGTAGCCTTCATGCTTGGCGAGAGAGGGGCTAAGCATGAATGTTGAATCACAATCTTTTTTACAAGTGAGAGACGACAAACTTCCTCAACATGACATTGTATCCCAGTTGGCAGCCCCAAGCTTAACACAGCCAACCCATCACCACCAACTCCTCTCACGCAGAACACGATCCGTCCCCGAAATAACCACACCGAATCGTGAAGTAGTCCAACACAAAATCCTCCGTGCCGCTCCTAGCTCCTCGGCAGACGGTACACCGGTTCGCCTTGTTGTCGCCGTTCTGGACGTCCATATCAGGGATGAGTACATGCCCGCCGATCTCGGTGGCGCAGATGCCGACGGCCTCGTCGATGCGGCCCAGCGCCCATTTGTCGTATACGCCGCTTGGATAAGACCAGTAGAAGGCGCAGTCTTTTGCTGCTGAAAGAGTGGTGAAGATGGCGAAGATGATGGCTGGCGACCACATGGCGAGTTGCGGTTTGAAAGGTGAGTCGGAGTCGTTTGCGTTGTAACTCTGGAAGACGAAAGAACAAAAGGCAACTTGAGATGAAGCCATGGCTAAAAGTGCCCTTCAGGCTGATCTCTCCGCGCGTCCCGCGGTCTCATCTCACGAAAACCATTTCGAAGGTCTTGAGCACCGCTGATCTGTCTGCGAGTCATGGACGCGGTGGTGTTGAGGGCATTTAATCTAACCAACGCGCAAAGTCCAGAATAGAAAACTTTACTTTGCCAGCACAAGCCTTTTGTTGTAATTCGCTGTAACCTGCCATTGCATTCGGTAAGCATGGGGGGGGGGGGGTCCGGTTCATGTCTGAAAAATGCATTCGAACTATGCTCATGGTATGACTTTCCAACCCTTCTTTCCCGTATAGTAACTCCTCATTATGAATATGTAGCCATTCAACTCCAAGCGCCTAAATATCAAATGTCTTTTTCCTATTTGTCAATCTCTGAAAAATGTCCTCACGCCTTGCAGGCGCTGTAGCTGTTCCATCCCGACGCCTGCTGCCACTCCGTCAGTGACTTGATCAACGTCGGGTCAATGTCCCTGTTCGCCTTGATGAAGATCGTCTCGAAGGGGTGCACGTTGGTCCCAAAGTATTTTCCGTTCCACAAAACATCGCCGTTTTGCGACGAGTCGCATTCGTCAATGTAGTTCTCAGACTTGTGGAACGCCGTCATCATCAAGTCTACTTTATACCCATTGTTCAGGAAGATGCTTGTCGCGCCGACCTCAGCGTGGACGGCGTGGTTCCAATCGTTGTAGCAGCCAGCGAGGCCGACGGGATCCTTCTCGTTGCCGAACTGGTCGCTGGCGTGTGAACTGGGCGGAGGGTTCAAGAGCAGGTCCATGCCAGTTGAGTCCGTTGCCCAGATCATCGACTGTACGTGGAACCGAGGCCAGCAATTGGCGGTCATACCAACCAGCTGGAAAATGTCAGAACCGGGATCGCATGTTGCGCAGAGATGAGAGGGGCCTGCTTACCTTGACCTTATCGGTGACACGATCCAGGTAGAGATCGCTCCAGCACGCCTGGGCCCAGTGAGGGAGGAACGGGCCGCGGACGCTCGCATTCAAGGTGATGAAGCGCTTGTACTTCTTGTAGAGATCACCCTCACGAAGAATCTCACCATAGGCGCCCAGATCGAAGCAGGTGTTGGGGCGTTTGACAACCCTGATGTTCTTCTTCTCGGGGATCTTGCTTTCCGCATTCGTCTCGCCGTTCAAGATGAAGACGAAATCAGCAGCATCGTGGAGACCTTGCTTGACAAAGTAGTCGAGGTTCTCGAGAGCGGCGGCGGACTCGGCGAAGGCGTAGAGAATGAGGGGCCTGTCTTTCGATGACGACTGGCTGGACGGTGAGGATGACTTGCTTGGGACCTTGGCTGTCTCTTGGCTGGCTGGCTTGGAGCCGGCCTTGGCGTCCGCCTTCGCCTTGTCTTCGTCTTCTTCATACCATGGCGGCAGGGTGACTTGCGGTGACGTGTCTGGGCGGGAGGCGTCCGGTCGCGGCTTCGAGTTGCCTGATGATTGGTGTTCGGGGACACTTGCAGGCTTACCTCCCGGGTTGACGTTGGGATTCTGAGCGGGAATGGCGGGCTGCGCGGGTTGTTCATGCGTCTAAGCACACAAGTCAGCGAGTTCCCGTCGAAAACGTGAGAAAAAACCCACGATGTGCGTCGGCGGCGTCTTTGGATTAGTCGACGTAAATGTAGACAGGGTCCACAGGAAGATGAGGAACATCAGCAGCCCTACGGCGGTCTGCTTGTTGACCGGGAAGCTGTTCCCCATGGCTCCGGCGCGGGTAGAGGTAGCTCGAGGGATTCGCAGGGACAGCTTTGGCGTGGACCTCGCCAGCTCGAGAGCTCGGAATCGATGCGATTCGTATGCGATGCGACAGCCGTTTATCCGGAGGAACAGGTCAAGACGAGGCGCAAGAAAAAGATGGAATGACCATCAGATGCTTCGAGCAACAGTGTGGGATGGCAATTGAAGGAAGGGACAATGTGATCCGAAGTTGAAATGGGAGAGAGTTCTCGTCTTGTCGGAGGCCAGTCGCAACAAGACAAGGGAGCCCACGCCAGATTGGAGGCCAGGGAGCTCCATTTGGGGATGGACAGGATGGCGTGGCATGGTATGGGAGTTATTTAGGGAGAAGTGGGCTAGTCAGGGCTGGATGACGGGAGGGATTTGGAGGGAAACGCAAGCAAGGAATGCGGGTTAGAGTTCGAGAACTTGTAAGAGACGGTCGAGTGTGGCTGAAGCTAGTGTTGCTGTCATGTCACTTCACCTTACTCTTGTCAGTGTCAGTGACGGTGAAGTGACATCCATGACACTGCCGTCCAAGCGCCGCATGGCACGGCAGGACGGGACGAGCATCTCACGTTGATGTCGTACACGGCGCTGTTGAAGATGAACTGGCTGGCTGGATGGAGGCTCGGGGGGGGGGGAGGATCTACGATTCGGTGGATGCAGGCGGACGGGATGCACACTGGTGACACCACCATCCCTCGAATCGACGGCTAGGAACCGGGAGCCTGGACTCGTAAGAAGCCCACTGTCCACGTCCCCCCCTGTGGAACTCTCCGATCGGGCTGTCCAATCCAGCGCAGCGGTTCAGTCAGTCCCTGAGGTGGCCTGGCAGCGTCCGCGTTGATGCCGGCCGGGCCTTTCCCCCCACACCCGGGACACTGGCGCCGTGGCTTTTACATTGCTCATGGTGGTGGGTGCTGTTCGGCAGACGGCAGACGGCACACGGAAGAGGGCTTGAGTGACGGGCGAAGCCACAGTAGTCTCTTCTGTAGTCTTCTGCTGTCGTGAGGCTGGATGTCGTTGATATTGAAGTTGCCAGGTCATCGGTACTCGCATTCAACCCCCACGCGGCTCGCTTCAAGTCAAGGTCGTCATTGCATCAAATCTTGCCTTATCGGGGACTTTCTTTTCCCTCACACAAGTGCACTATGGATGTATCTGTAGGGGTTTGTTCCCTCGAATGCCCGTCTGCGCTGCAACCCCCTGCATGTCGTCCCTTGCATTCTGCACATGGCGATTGGTACGATATCGACGTGTGGCTAGGTACATGAGCTGAGCTGAGGTATGCCGTACCACCTACTCATGTCGGTGCCAATGGCGCATGTCTCGGACGCTCGCTATCGGCCGTGCAATGTCTATCAGTCTTAGATGCGCCATCGCCTTCAAATAAACGTGCAGAATTGCACCGAGACTTTAACCGACTTTTGGCGGTGCATCTATCGCAATTGACTTTGGCAACCAACGCAAGGGTGGACTTGAGGAGAGACAGCAGCGCCCGTCAATCCCGCTAGAGTTGACGACCGCCAAGCCAAGCAACTGCGACCTTTGTTCGGACGGAGCATTGTTTGCCCACGAGATGGATGCTGTCTACTGCATAGTCGACCGCCAAGGGCTCAGTCTCGACCTCGCGATGGCCTCTGCTGCAACAGTCGCAACTGCCGATGGACGGTGAACGATCAAGTTCAAGAAAGAACGTCGCAATGGCCGGGATCGTTGCAGAAACGTACGGTTGCTGACCCGGAACTGCCTTATCTGGAAATCGTGTTGGAAGGAGTCGCTATCTCGAGCGGGGGTTGCACCGAGTGGAGGTCCATCTCACCATCTCCAACAACACCACCCGCGTCGCGTAGTAGAAGAGAAGGCGAGCGCCATTGACAACGTCACTTCCCAGTCCTGTTCAGCAGAATCTCTCCTCGGCTTCAGATTTCACCTCTGAAACACCATGTCTCCTTCAATCACGATCCGGCCGCCACTGTCGCGACGAGGCCACGGCCCCGGCCTCATCATTCTGGTTGAGGCGGGACTCAACCTAGCCAAGCACGACAAGATTCTGGATCCTCCACCGGCGCAGAAATGGGCCGAGGAGGGCTACGCCGTGGCTCAAGTGGTCGTTGCTCCTGGACTCGCCAACATCCCCAACGACATTACATTGGCCATTGCCCGATTGAAAGCGCTTGAGAGCTGTGATGACAAAAACAAGTTTGGCGTCATCGGTAAGCCCTTCATTATCACATGACACCAACCCCATCTGACCGTCACGTAGCCTGCCTCGCCTGTCAAACACCGGCAGTGGTCGATGCTCTGGAGAGCCATCCTGAGATCAAAGCCGCAGTCTTTTTCAACTTTGCTCAAACCCTCGGTATTCCCAGTCTCTCACACGCCTCAGGTCCCGATGGCGGCGGCACCAAACCTGCTGCCCCGTCCAAAACCTATCATTATCCATCAGCCGGCGATTTCTTCACCATTCCGAGCCATGACAACTTCAACGCTAATGCTGCTGGTCTCGCCCACACGCGCACGTTGACATTCCTCAAGCCCATCCTCGGGGGACCGTACTTCGATCTCGAAGCCGTGTGGGAGGAGCATACCCTGTTTGAATTTGGCGAGCGAAATGTTGACAAGACTATGGCCACCATGGTTGAGCAACCTTATGTGAGTGTCTTGTGTTCATGTGGCGGTGACACCTGCTGACTGCGACGAGGTCAATCACATTCCCACACTCACCGGCGGCGTAGGCCGCGCCCGTCTCACCAACTTCTACACCAATCACTTCATCTTCAACAACCCAGAGGATACAGAGCTTGAGCTGGTGAGCCGTACGGTGGGCATTGATCGAGTGATTGATGAGTTTGTATTCAAGTGTACCCATGATAAGGTCATTGACTGGCTGTGAGCACACCCCGCCCCCCTTGCCAGGCTTCCATCGCTCAGTCTAACGTCTCTCAGACTTCCCGGAGTGCCGCCTACCGGCAAACATCTCTCTATCCCCTTCACAAGCGTCGTCAATGTCCGCGGCGACCATCTTCACCACGAGCATATCGCTTGGGACCAGGCGACGGCTTTGCGTCAGCTTGGACTGCTCCCCGACTACCTCCCATTCCCGTACCAAATCAACGGCAGCGGTCCTTCGAGCGATAAAAAGTTCGAGTATCGATTGCCAGTCGCCGGCGTGGAATCGGCTCACAAGCTCGTGGACGAGGGGGCAGTCGAGTCGAATGCGATGTTCGAGTACGGGACGAGAGAGGTCGATGCGTAGGTGTCGGGCTCAATGGGTCGGCTCAAAAGGTGCGGATCTTCAGTCACTCTCCTCGCGGCGGGTGGTCGCTGACTCTAACGATGAAGAATCTTTATTAGGTTTATTTTGTTGTTCGGCTATTATCAATACAATCTTCTCATTAGCAACTCATGAGCTACGGTCGAGAGCCAAGACCCGAGGACGAGGCGCTTCTCGAGGAAGGCTGGTATTTTGACTCATTGTACTTCGACTGTTCCTCGCCCCATCGGACCTCTTGGTCAACCTTGATGCGGATGCCGCCCTTGAGTGACAGGTCGTCGTCGGAGCCAGAGTCGGGTAGGCCCTTACCACCTCGTTCAGATCGCCCCGTGACGCTCGTTGTTACGCCGTATTTGCGGTCCTCGGTGCCGAGACGCTTGAATCCTCTGTCGGCCGACTTGCCGCCGGTTCCTCCAATTGTCATGAGTTCCGTGGGCCCGCGGCTGCCCATCTTGGTCGCGCGGCCGCCGCTGCGGCCACCGCTCTGGCCTCCGGAAAGGTTGTACTTGGTTGCGATGCTGCCGAATTGCGATGAAACCTTGACCATGAGCGGACGAAGGGTAGGCAGGCACGCGCTGATGACACCGCAGGCGCACTCGACGACGCACCACGTGCAGGCGGTAGCAAGGGTCCCTATGGATGTCAGGATGAATAAAACACCGTAAGCGGCGAGCAACTCACATGTCGTGTCCGTCAACTGGAACTGCATAATCGTCGTGAAGCGGTAGATACTGGCGAACAGGACGCTGCTGATGTTAGGCAAGTTTCTCCCACATTAAGACGCAGTTACTCACAATCCACCCAGCAGGAACATGAAGCACAGCGAGATGCGCTGCACCATGGTAACCTGCAGCCTCCATACCTCCTTGATAGGTAGGCAAAGAATGGCGACGTCCGTCAGGATGTTGGGGATGGCGTTTCCGATAAAGGACGCCTTGAGGTCGATACAGGTGCCGTCGATCCACGGCATGTACGCCTTCGCCACGGGCGTGCACTGGAACACGCAGACCAGGACGATCGAGATCCACCAGCCGATGGTGAGGAAGCCGAGAACCATGGCCGAGATCTTGAAGCCGCGAGACGGGAAGATACGACGGTACATCAGGAGCAGGGAGATCTTGATGAACATGACCGCCGTAACATAGACGCACTCAAAGGCCAGAAGCAGCTTGAGGAACTGCACCTGCTGGTCCATAGAGAGAGTCGAGGCATGGCGCCCGAGACCTTGTGCAATCACTATGACACGATGTGAGTCTGTATTCAACTTTTTCATGTTTTGGCATCTGCTTACTGGCATAGTTGAGAGCACCCGCCATGAAGGTGACGATCTGTTTCTGACGTGTTAGTCTTTGCCCACGACACCACCACCACCACCGCCATCACCACACCGAAAACGCACCAGTCCAACGACCATGAACCAGTCATCGAGGCCGTAGTGGAAGCCAACCGTCCATCGCGCCCAGAACCGCAGGCCAACAAACACCGTCGCGAGAACGAGCAGCGCCGTCGTGGTGCCGCTCAGCTCCGGCCCTCTATTCGCCAAGGGGTCTTCCACCGCAGTGTCGGCCATGGCGGCTGAAAGAAAAGATGGAGACCGGAAGGACCGGCCAGAAGCAACAATCCAATATCTGAGCGTCCGATTACGAAGAATATATAAAACGAGTAAGATGAAAAGACAGGCGAATTCGACTCGAAAGGGAACAACTGGACCCGCGATGTGGGAGCAGCGCAGCGCCTACTATAGAGTCCTTATACATAAACGACTTGTCGATTCCCCTGGCCGGGGAAAAAAAAAAGTGGTAAGACAGAAACTGACTCGGCACTTGAGGGGCAACAACTTGCCGGATAACAGCGACAGAAATGGTCGATTGGGGCCCTCAGAGGGGGCATGTAGCACTGCCAACTGGGGGGGTAGGTATCCAACGGCACATCAATATAACGGCGTCGTCGAGCCCTTGTCCATACCAGAGTGGCACCGTCACAACCCCGGTTCGACTAGCGATGCGTCTGATCGCAGCGACTATCACGGGAGTTCAGACAACGACCCCATAACCAATACTACGCCGTACCACGTTGCCATGCTCCATCGAGCAACCTCAATCGAGGCATCACCCTCCGTCCTGACATCTCCATTCGGAAAGGGGGGAGGGACTCTGGAGACATCATGGGATGGCGTGCCGTGCGAGGGCTCCTTGGCCGCGATATTGACGAGGTATCGGAGCTTGGTTCATGGAAGCAGTATTTTCGACGAGGATAAAAGCGCCCGAGTTCGTCGCTACCTCGTGGCATTTTGGTCTTTCTCTCCTCACGCTCGGCGCCATTTAATCGATTTCCCCCATCCTCGCCTCGTCTGTCAAGCTTGTTCTGGGCATCGTCCGTCGTCGTACAATTCCAACTTATACACACGTTCCTTACAACGGCCTCTGGCATCCCACCGGTCCTTACAAGTCCATCCTTTGGTACCCTCTTACCTTGATTTATACCACCTCTTTCAAGCATCGATCGGCAGTTGTTCGTCTGTGTGATCCCAGCCCTTGACAAAAGCACTCTATCCCCAACCAGAGAAACACACAGAAGAGATGTTCCCCAAGATCGCCAGCCTCCTCACCTCGGCCCTTGCGGTCTCCGCGGCCGTCCTGCCCCGTGCAGAGCTGCCCACCATCGTCTTCACCCCGGGTGCCTGGCACGGTCCGCAGTCCTTCGACCTCGTCCGCGCCGGCCTGACCCTCAAGGGCTACGAGTCTGAGGCCATCACCCTCCCCTCCGTCGGCGCCGAGCCCGCCACGGTCAGCCTCGACGAGGATGCCGCCGTCCTCCGCAGCACCCTCACCACCCTCGCCGACGCCGGCAAGCAGATCGTCCTCGTCGTCCACTCCTACGGAGGCATGGTCGGCGCCAACGCCGTCTCCGGCCTCGGCTACCAGCAGCGCGCCAACAACAGCGAGACGGGCGGTGTCATCATGATGGTCTACCTCGCCGCCTTCGCCGCCCCTACCTCCACCAGCCTGGTTGACATGCTCAGCGGCGAGTTCCTCCCCTGGATGAGAGCCGATGTAAGTAAATCTTTTGATACGTTTTCCCCCGCTCTCTCCTTCTTTGACATACGGGCCCCCTCTGCATCTGCATCTGTCACTGTTTTGCACCCTTGCCTGGGCATATGCAACGTATCAGATGCAGAAAGCGGCTCTCGCTTGATATCAAAGACCACAGTCGACTAACACGTGTGAACAGGGTGACAAGGTCTACGCCGACACGCCCGAAACCATCTTCTACGCCGATGTCGACCCCGTCCTCCAGGCCAAGGCCATTGCTGAGCTCAGCTGGGAGTCCAAGCGTGTATTCTCCGATGACGCCACCTACGAGCCCTGGAATGAGGGCATCGAGGTCATGTACTTCCACACCCAGCAGGACCAGGCCATCCCCCTCGCCACCCAGGAGGCCATGGCCGCCCAGTTCCCCGCCGGCTACACCACCTTCTACGCCAACACTTCCCACTCGCCCTTCCTGTCCCGCCCGGACCTCGTCATTGAGGGCGTCGAGCTGGCTGTCACCAACGGCCAGGCTAAGCTTGCCTAAGCCCTTCTCTCCGGAGGCGTGTTGTAGTAGTGTAGTTGAGACATGACCTGTCATGTGAACAATTTCGTGTCGAGGAGATTCTTCGGGGGTGTCCTCGCCCTGATAAGTCATAGCCCCCTTATCCTTTTTAGAGAAAAAAGAATAGACAATCAAGACCTATGTCCTCAAACCATACTCGGTATCACCATTTGCCTGTGAAATCATGTGTTGTGTCGTTCGAGAATAGCTTCACTGGACCGGTTCTGGTTATCTCGCCGCCGTGTTAGGTACGAGAGAGCCCACCGGAAGTTGTCCGTAATCCGTAAGAGATCGCCGTCCCCCAAGGGCCCTGTCTTCTTTAACGGAGATCCGCGTGCGAAGCCTCCGGAAGCCCCTGCAGCTGTCTGGGGGGGGGGGGGGTCCCGGAACATGCGACGCGGCAGATACGCTTTCCTCTTTTCTCCCACAAGAGAAAGCTCCAATCCAGAGGCAACCATTTGGGGGCAAATCGTCAAATATCTGCCCGAAAAGGGTCGCATAGCCGACGAAAACACACGATGGGGGGCCAAATAATAGGCGATGATAATCGATAACGAGTCAAACGACTCATGAACGACAAGCCCAGAAGAGAAAACAAACAGAAAAAACCTCCGGATATCTGTGCACTGCGCAATCAATCTTTGGCCGGTACCCTACCGCCCACGTGCGCTATTGTCCCTTTTCTTCCAGCAACCCAAGATTACGAAAACAGCTTGACCACCCCCCCCCCCCCCCCGGCAGTGGCACCAACGACCGTTGCGCGGCGCGCCGCACTCCACAGCTCTTCCCTCATGGCATTGTCTTCAGCAAAGGGTCCCCGGCCTTTCTCTTGTGGAGAACGTCGAGTGTTGTGGACTCAAAGGCCGATGGGAGACAGGAAAAAAGGGGGTGTTGACCAGTTTGACGGGTGGGAACCGATTGATTCCAGGCCTGCCGGAATTGAGTCCTTTTTGCTAAATTCTGCTCCCTCTCCTCCCCACCTTGTTGATGTGACACTGTCTCGTCTCTGCAACCACAAGCTCGTCTATCTAATTGTTTTGAGTTTGCTGCGACATGTCGTTGGAAGAAGGCTTGCATGTTTGTTTGGTTCGTCTAAAGGACGGGCCGGTACTTGGGAAACGCGCCAGTCTCGGTTTGGGCGAGTGTGCGCGTGTTGGCTTGCGGGAGGATTTTCACGCGCCAGACGCGAAGAAGAAAGGTCTCCGGGGGGAGACCGCGGCGTTCCTCCCGGTATGCATCGCGCATCCTCCTGCATTTGCCGATTTGCATGCACCAACCGGATACAGTGCCCTTTGTGCCTGGCCGTCTACGCCTTCTATGCGTTATTCCATTTGGCAGCAAACCGAGCTACGCCGTAACCGGTAATCGGAGGTCCGGGCGTGCGTCTCCACACCACCGGGCCCCGGTCTCCCCGGCCGTCTCGGCGCGCCGTCCTTTTTGCACTACTGCACAGGACGAAGGCGGAAACGCATTCCCGAGCCATGAGATTTGCATGAACGGTACGGAATTACGCGCTGGGTCTAGAGTCATCACGAGATCGTCCGTGTGTTTTCCTACAAGCCTATGAGGGGTTTTCTTTTACACTTGTTATTGGAGAAGTGTCGCCCCCCCCCATTCGTGGCTACCTGCTGCGCGGCATATTGCGTCCGTTGCCTGCGTAAGGTAGTGTTGCATTGGCTCTCGGACGCTCAGGATCCACCACCGCCGCCCATCATCGCCCGGCGCCCGCGATACGAAAAGACTGTTAGAGAGATCTAGAACGCTGTCTATAGTACCCTCACAGAGAGTCCACAGTGGTTTCTGGGAGGGACCTATATCAGCGCCAGCGTCACTGTTCAGGTGAGTGAGGCGGGAACAATACTGTCTCAGTTCGGACATTGTGGCAGGCAAGCCAGACGCAAATTGCGGACGTTGAAAGGGGGCGAAGTCAAACGAAACGTTGAAAAAAAGGCTCTTAAGACGTAAACCCCTAAGACGACAGCGAAGAAACCGTTCGACCGACGGAGTTGAAGCGAGCCACATCCCGCGGGTAAATTAGACTTGATCAAATTAAACTTTCACGTCAACAAACATGACAACTGGAGATCCCCCAAACCTTCAACGTCGGTTTTCGAACATGTCAGGCTCTCTGGCGAACTTGGCACCCCCAGGTCTAGCGCAGGACGCAATCGTTTCACCAACACTGCAATCCAACACCGGCTTGGGACCCTGGGCCCTGAGCCTCCCCCCAGTCTTTCTCTCTCCGGGCAAGGGGGCAGCCCCCCACCAACGGCCCCCATAGTATCGTCGCGCTCTTTGGCCCTTATCGGTGGCACAATTACGGATAGGCAATAGGCATCTCGAACTCATTGCCCGCGGAGGAGCAAGCAGAGGCAGAAAAAAAACTTGGCCTTGTCAAATCTCCTGTGACGTGAACTATCCTCTGACGGGTATCTTGACAGGACAATCTCGTTTCATCGCGGGTGTTCCCCGGGGCGCCGGCGGCGGGTTCGTCCGCTGAACCGTTGCGCGGTTTGTTCGTGTTGGCGCTGGTGGCTTCCAAGTTCCGCCCATCTCTCCAAGTCAAATCTTGGAGAAGCCTTGAAGCTTTTTGCTGATCGTCATCTTGACTCGTGGTGGTGGCCGAACCGCGGTTCCAATCCTTCTAGAAGCGGTTTTCCTTCACGAGGTCCTCGCAGTGCCCGGGTCCCCGTCACATGCATCTAGATCGATCCATGGTTGTTCCTCACTGATCAAGATGATAAAGAACAGTCGCCAGCTTCTGTAGAGTGTAACACAACAACTTCCTTACGCTCGCTGCAACTCGTGACGAAACGCCCACGCCGGATAAGATCACCGCTGTCAAATCTCTGCAGCGGTGAGTTTCAACACACGCCCGGAACGCCACTGCCGTCCCGTCCCTTTCTCTCACCCAAGAGAAGCTGTCTATCCGTAATTCCCGTCGGTGAATGGGCTCCCGGCGGAAACAGTACGGCG